CTGGTACTATCCAAACTGTCACGTTAATGTGACCGAGGTATCATAAATGGGAAACGAATCCGATACGTCGTGATATATATACGGGTTATTAATGACGCCTGCATTACTTACATATAGTCTTGCTGCTGTTCCATGGCGGTATAAGGCGCAAGTAGAGATAACAGCTAGGATATGCGTGGCCGTTATCCCATAGACATGCCAGCAAGCAGGATCTCACGTGCCGACACACACCCACACACACACACACACACACACACCACACACACACACACACACACACAGCACGGCGCGCGCATGCACGCGCACGCACGCACACACACACACACACGCACACAACGCACAGACGGCACGCACACAACGCACGCACGCACGCACGCACACGCACGACACGCACAGCCGCCACGCCGCGCACGCACGCACGCACACACGCACGCACGCACGCACACACGCCACGCACGCACGCACCGACACACACAGGCATTAGCGACTGTCACAGCGAGTTATATAAAACGTACCTGGTGTTCACAGAGCGATGCAGTTCAGATGGCATTGGTTGCGCTACGTCGATTGCCATCTTTCCACAGAGATACTGGTAGTACGGTTCGAGGCAGAATTGAGGCCCGCTGACATCTCCAGTTGCTGTCCTGCCAACAATATACGTCATGCAGTGCTATATATATATATATATTATTATATATATATATTAATATATATAATTATATTCATTATAATATATTATGATATATATATATATATAATAACTATATGTGTAACAAATATAACGAGGATACGGGGGCAGGTTTGTGTTATGAATAAAGTTCACGGCACACCGATGAAGACACTATACCTTAATTATTCATAATACATGCCTTTGAATTTAACGTGTACAGGTGTCGCGAAGCAATCGTTATGGGCCGATTCAGTGAGATGAGTTGTTGCTTGCGGTAGACTGTTATAATGTGGTGAACAGCGAATCACTAACGCCAATGCCCGCTATCAATAAATACCTAACAACGACTTCGTCCAATACATTGCGGCTACCTATGAATCAGGAGCTAGCATAATAGGAACTGCCATAATAACTCCTAGATATCCAGAGGACTGCCGCCACTTCTACATGCTCCAACTTAACCGACCCATGCTGAGATAATACACGACATTGCGTCAATACACAAGGTCATTCGATGTATGCTCGTTTCCTGGGAGCTAGCAATTAAATACCTAAACACCAATATGGTAAAAGACACTCTAACCCTACCCAGCAAAATAGGGTAATCCTTAGGGATATGTTGGGGTTACCATGACTTGTATCTAGTATTCAATAGCTTACCTAAAGTATTGGGCTGTATATGATGTGATAAGTAGGGGATGAACTCTGCAATGAGATCATATCAAGAGCAGATAATACACATGGTGTATTATCTGCTCTTGACTCATATATTAGAAAGATGATTGTCCATTTTTAAATAAAATGTAACACCTCATCTATTTTACATGTTATATTTATCTGATGGGATGCCTGGGTGTTTTTATCTCTCTGCTCTCCCTTCTCGGTCCCCCTCTCTCCTCTCCCCCCCCCATTTTCTCCCTCATCTCCTTCTCTCTCGCTTCTCTCATGCCTCTCTCTCTCTCTCTCTCTCTCTCTCTATATATATATATATAATTATAGGGCTATACATAAATATATTCATATATCATTGACGTCATCGCATATAGTATATATCTACGTAAGTCAGATAGTCTGAACGCGTATTTCAGTTGACGCGGCATTTCCTTCATTCCGGTGCGTCAATCGAACAAATATCGTCTGCTGCAGAATATATCAGCGCAACCCCGGCAGTTAGATCGCGAATAATGATATGGACTACTAGGCACTTAGCGATATGAACTTACTAGGCCACTTTAAAAAAAAAAACCCCTAACCCTAACCCTAACCTAACCTAAACCCTAAACCTAACCTAAACCCTAACCCTAACCCTAAAAAAAAAAAAAATTAAATTAAATTTACAAGTGCCTAGTAGTCATATCATATCGCATCTTTCCTGTCCTTATGCTATTATCAGCAAATTTTGCACAGGGGAGAGATAGTGATCCGCATAGGGGACGGCTCTGCATTGGCTAATTTTGTCTCTATATTTATTTTTATTTTTATTATTTCGAGCAAATTTTGTTTTATTTAGGGAATTAGGGATTCAGGGTTAGGTGTTAATGTGATAGGTATTAGGGTTAGGTTAGGGTCTTAGACTCGATTTCTATATCCACAACTTATTCATATATTCACTATCTCTCCCCTGAGACTACTATACTATATCAGCACCGCGTCGCATATCATCGTCGGCGGCGGCAACATTGAAACGCCACGAAGGCCGAGCGGACGGTATCCGCTGCAGTTCTTCAGAAGCTGGGTGTGCGTACGTCCGTTCCGATTCTCGTTATGTTTCACCAGTATACAGAAACATACGATAAACTCGGACAAGTGCGCCTTGCAGCGAGCTTTCACGAGCCATATACGACAATGAGCTCTCGCTCTGCGGCGCGGGCTACTGTGCCTGACCATGGCTATAGGCCAGGCAATGCGGTCGAGGGACTGGCCCCCCACAGCGTTACCAATGCTAAATCTAGATTATAGCATAATCTAGAACTATCATTTTGATATTAGCCCAATGGTCACCAGCAGTACGACGAGGTCGTTGTTATTCTATGCGGTCCCGCTGCTCACCACGCCACACGCACACACCCACAGCCACGCTCACACACCCCCATTACTCATCTGCTTGCTCCGCATTAGACCTTTTGAACCGCGAACTACAGTTCATTCGTCTTGGCGTTTTCGCCTTATATTCCCATATGATATATATATATATATATATATATATTTATATATATATAGATATACCTTGCCAAGCGGGCATGAGCGATACGAGCGCATATCATGGATAAGTTAAACTCGTTAACATAACAGAATGTCCGTTGCCAGACACGGCAGTATTAGCCCCCCCAGGGAGGTAAATGCATGCTTGCTTTGCTACGCCATGCGCCGCGTGCCAACTCCGCTCACGCTAAGCACGCTGATCTACAGCCACACCACAGGACCACTTACTTAATTCTAAGTTCTGCGACGCTGGCGACCACCAAGATTCAGGATATAGAAACGCTGTCAAGTCAATAGATCGTCCACCAAGAAAAAAGCAACGCGCAACTTGTGCGCACCGCTATACTATCACGAGCCGATAATAAGTGTGAAGCTATAATGCCGCCAGAGTAATACGCGAAGCAGATAGAGATATAGAGTACAAGATTGTGATACAGGTTAGATGCTATCAGGAGTGAAATAATAATAGAAATTGAGTCTATTCATTAGTGAATAATAATATAAATCTAATATATTATTAGTGATTAATTAGAAATTAAATCTCATTATTCAGTTGAATAATAAATATAAATTAAAATCTATTTATTAGTGAATAATAATAGAAATTAAACATCTTTATTCACTCCTGATGCGATCTATGTAACAGCCCTAAAGGTTTGCAAGCTCGCTTCTAGCTGCTAGCTCTAGTTGTCTTGTGCTTGTGCCTATAAAGCGAAATTGCGATGCAGTGGATGGACCACGCGGCAACGCATAAACTTCATCGTTTATCTTCGCAGGGCGTCATATATACGCGCCTGCCTGTTTCCCCTTTCCATGTCTGACGTCATAGGAGGTACTGGAGGAGACGAACTAAGAACACGACATCGTCATTCGAATTTGGACGATGTTACGGCAAACGCTTCGGTTTAATTAATGGATGTCTCGAAAGATGATGAACAACTTGTACTCTATTTATTATATAAGATTTCCTATTGGCAGTAATATTACGCCCACGCGTCACGGCTCCTTGTACGGTGTCCGCTCTCTCTGACCAGTGCGCGCTCTCTTTTTCTTTCTCTTCTCTCTCTCTCTGTTTCTCTCTGTCTCTCTCTCTCTCTCTTTTCTCTCTCTCTCCTCTCTCTCTTTGTCTTCTCTCTCTCTTTTCTTCATCTACTCTCTCTCTCTCTCTCTCTCTCTTCTCCTCTCTGTTTCTCTCCATCTCTTCTCTCTCATCTCATCTCTCTCTCTCTTCTCTCTCTGTACTCTACTTCTCATCTCCTCTCTCTCTCTCTCTCTCTCTCCTCTCTCTCTCTTATATATAATCTAATATCTATATATCTAATATATATATAGATATATAATATGTGTGCATAACGTGAGTGTGCAGTGCATGCGTACCCGTGCGAGTTGCGTGCGTGGTCGCGTGCGTATGAGTGTACTTTGCACCACTAACCGAATGACGCGTACTGACGAGAATGAGGCAAGCCACATCGCGATCCGTGTATCGCCAGATGAGGCCTCGTGTAGCATACATGATGGGTTTCCATCC